TTCCCTCTACATGTGCATTAGTATTTTTTCATTTGGTGAAGAATGCTTATTTTTGCTTAACGATAAATATATAAGGAATGAATGCGAACGGATAGAGGAATATTTGAGCATTCAATATGAATTCTAATTTAATAATTTTTCGAGCTGACTTTGCTTACAAGCAGCAAAATTTTGGCACTAAAAGTTAAGTGAGCCTCAGCAAAAATGGTGAATGGTGAATTTTAGAAAAAGAAAAAGAAAATTTTTAAAGAAATTATTTCAATATTTTTATTTTTCTCATATTTTGACCTTTTTTGCCTAAATTTTCGCCTTAATTTATTAAGCTACTAAATTATTTAAACAAATAAAATAAAATAAAAAGCCAATTAAAAAAATAATATATTTTTGCGAAGAAGAAACTAAAATCTATTGGCTTTAGCTAAATGATTTAATCTTCGTTAATTCTATTCTTTCTCAAGGCACAAATCTCGTCAATTTCTAGAAATTTTAATTCTATGAATACAGATCGACTGAAATATTCAATAGAAATGCAATAATGATATCATCCACTTGCACTGCGAAATTGCTTTAGGGCAAATCTACTCTTCTATAAATACGAATCGGAACAGCATTTTAATTTTATAAATGCGGGAATTGTTGCAAGTTCCATAGGTTTTGGGAAGAGGGGTTGATTTATGGTGTAGTGGGAAAATTTTATAGAATGTTATTTAGAATATCTAAAAAGGATAGCATTACTCGCTCATAAGCAGGAGATGACTTAAAGAAAAATTTCTAAAAGCATTCGTTCGCTTCACAAGAAATTACTTTTTCTAAATATGGTTACGGTCAGTTAATTAATTAATTACTGAACCTTTAAAAGCAAATTCCATAAGTTCGGAAAAAGGTAAAAAATCTGCGGTTTCGTCTCATCTTCGAAAATTTAATTTTGCACCTTATAAACTTTCCTTCAAACAAAATAATTCTATTTCGTCAATTTCTAGTCAACTGCCAACTAAAAGGCTTCAGTACAATTTTATTAATGACAAAGTAAAATCTATAACAAATAGTTTCCAAACCTCTCACGCACCTGCATTTGTATTGTTAGAAGAACTGTTTTCACCAAATACTTATAAATAAATCATTGGCTAACATTGAGCCTTCCTGAGTCTTATTGAGTCAAGAATTAACTAAATTCTTGCATATAAAATTCTGTATGGTTATTTTTATTGCTCAAAATATTGCAATTTTAGGTTAAGTTCGAACGCAGCAAGGCCTAATAAGCTAAAATTGTTAAAAACCTCAAACCTAAATGCAATACAAGGAACGCATCGGCAGATTGGCAGATAAGCGCTAATAAATGTTTGAAATAATATATAAGCTGCTATAATTCATGAAAATCTTCCACTTTTCATTTTGAACAGTTTTTATTCATTATATTTTTTTCTACTTTGCATTATTTAATATAAGAACATTTTCTATAGCTTCTAAAACATTTTTTCTTTTTTAATGCAATATTATTGACATATGAGAAGATTTGGGCTTCTTCCATCCTTGTTAACGCGAAAAGTGTTTTGTCTAATATTTTTAGCACTTTAAATACCACTTTAATGAAAATGCCTCTTCCTCTAGGGAAGTAAGAACCAATAGTAACGCCCCTCAAAGCAAAAATTAAAAGGCAGAAAAAAGGTGCTAATATAGTAAACCATTTATACCATAAAGTGCATTGCGATCTCTTCGTTTTCAATGCCTTCAACTATATTTCTTATATTTTTCTAACATTTCCAATAGCTTCAATTGTATCATTTATTTCTCTAATATTTTCAAGAATTTCATCATGTTTTTCGATTTTCTAACATTTTCGACATCTTTAAATATATTTTTTAAATTATCTAATAATTTCAAAGGTTTAGTTGTATTTGTTTGAAATAAAATTTTCTAACTTCCCCAAAACTTTCTCAAATTTTCATTCATTGTATTTTTAAATTTTTTAAGCATTTTCGACATCTTTAATTGTATTTAATTAATTTTTTCATTTTTCTAAAATTTTCAACAATTTCATTATATTTTTTATTTTTTTCAAATCATTCATATTTATGCATTCATCATTATAAATTTATCTTTGAAAGTGAAAAAATTTTTTATCACTCGAAAGAAATATTTCAAATGAGTGGAAAAAAAATTTTTAAATTGTTTTAAAAAATTTTGAAAATTAAAGGAAAATAAATAAATATGAAATAATGAATAGTTTATGAATATTAAATAACGATAATAATAAAGAATATAAAAATAAGTGCTAAGCTTTTCTTTTCAACACTTTTATAATTTTTTTCTAATTCCGGTTCAAAAGAATGGAAAGAAAAGCATTAGATTTTAAAAAACCGCCTTATATTTTTTGTCGCTATTATGTCGATTTATACTTGCATCGTCGCTGTTTTGTCGGTCCATTTGAACGAAATTTTTTCGAAAGTGCTTCGGTAATTTGTGCAATAATGATACTTTATTGTACCACACGAATGCACTATACGGAGTTCATTAACCGCTAAAATAATATTTATTCGTAAAGTAATATGTAAAAAGTGTGAATTAATACGAATGAAGTACAGCCTTGGGTTGAATTTCCATTTAATATTATTAATGCTTTATGCAGCTTATGAATTAAGAAGGCATTTTTTACAAAATTTTTAGGTTTTCTATTTACTTTTAGGCCATTTAGGAGCGATAGAAGCGATCTTTCCCTTCCAACGAAACGCCCTTAAAGTATTCTATCCTAACAGTCAATCTACCGAACGATGCGCGCTTTTGAAAAGCTTGGAATTATTTACATATATATGAAAAAAGGATTTCACTGTTATCTTTATGAACAAATCTTTTCTAAAATTTTTCGCACATTATTTTCACGTTCGAATTGTGAAGGAATATTTTCAAAATTGAAATCATTTCGATAAAAATTTTCATGATCTGTTCAAATAAAAAAATTGGACTCACATCCATTGCTAAATTATCAATTGACTATTATTTTCTCAATTAGCCATTACCACACTTTGATCATATTCATTATATCTTAATAAGTCGTCGTTAGAAATGTTCAGTGCCAGATGGCCACTCCTATCGCAACACTTAAATGGGCGATATTCATGGATCTGACCATAAAAAAAATGAAAAATTTTAAAAATAATTTGCTATTGATTTTAACTAAATGAATCTATCCCATAGGATAAATTCATTCAATTAAAATTACTTTATTTTTAAAATTTTTCATTTTTTTTCCGTTAAAAAACTTCGATATTTATTAGATTTTCATTTTATTTAAAAAATTTATTTTATTTTATTCAAAAAATTTCTTTTATCTTTTTTTGATTCATTCCCATTTTTACATATTTAAATTAAAAATCCTAGTTTCTGGACCTGTTAGGCTCCTAGAAGGTGATTTAAGGATCCTCTTGTTTTGGGATGTCTGAGGATTTGTAGAGATGGTACGAGAAGCAAAAAGACTGGGGAATATGGTGGATAGAAGACATCGATTTTATTTCGACAAAGTTCTATTAAGTGGTTCTTGCGACGTGTAGTCTAGTATTGTCATGCAGAACGATCTGTTGGCTAGTACGGATTATCTCATTTGTCAATCTAGGTGAATTTTTCCAATTCTCTATTTCATGATTTTGTTATAATTACTGCAAACTTTTAAAAGGTTATTATCAGATATCAGTCTTGTAGCGAACTTTTTTCTAACCTCACCATTACCGGTTAGGCTGCCGCTACAAGCGTAAGACGTCTTCAAGCTGTTGGACCCGACACCATCGACATTGATAGAAGCCATTCCTTTTTCCATCGTCTGAGTCCATATGTAGCTATTCCACCTATACGTTCAGAAATTTTCCTCATTGTACCAATCCAGGTCTTAATTGGTCCACTTTTGACGTCATCCGTCACACGGTTTAGCAAGAAACAAAGTATGTGTCAATTTCATACCCTTAAGTTATATGTACGAAGAAACGAAAAATATTTTAATTTTATGGCCAATAGATTTAATTCGTCCTGCACCTCAAATTTTGAGAAAACTGTTAAAGAGAGGCGATGGTGATCAATACATAGGATATCTAAAAAATCCAAAAACATTTAATGGCCTAAACGGTAACATCGAGGGCAACCACTTCAAAATCAGCATTTTCAATCAAAAGAGTCGTTATCATCACTTTAACTTCATTGTACGGCAAATTAAGGGAAGAATTTCTAATTCCACAAAAAAAAATATTCAAGTACCAACGTCGTCAGAGTACCAACAATGAAATTGGCAAATGGAGATGAATTCCACAGACAAATTTTAACTCGATACCCACTGGAGATGTCTGATAATGATGACTAAACGACCGATCCCAAGAAACGAGCTAAATAAAAAATTCAATCAATGCCTTAGGCTTTCAATTAAGGCCTCAAAAAATCCAAAAACTACTAACAACTACAAATTAATCAAACTGTTCAAAATTTCCATTTAAATAAATTTAATTAAACCAGCTAAAATTAAATGTTTTTTTAGTAAATCTATAGTAACTTTACAAAACAATTATAATTTTTAATTCTTATTTTTTTTCCAAATTTCGAAGCCTTAAAATCCAAAAACTATGGACAAAAAGCATTGCCAAAAATTTGTGCTGATATGTTTCAATATGATCAAACTGATATATCGTTTAATGTAATATCAAAATCTAATTGCAAAAAAATTTTTCGCGCCTAACATTATCAGCCGAAATCGACAACTTAAGCATAATGCAGATGATATTCATGTTTTGTACTTCTCTTTTGTTTTCTCCTTAGAAATTAACTATGCGTAAAAACAGTTTGAAAAAAATTTATTTCAAAAAATAAATAAGTGATAAGGATGTGATTAAAGGAAATTAAGAAATTAAGAAAGAAAATTAAGATAAAAAACCACATAATAAATGCAGATAGAAAGTTCTAAGTCGCTTTCATTTCGAATTTGTGAACAGCACGTTCTCTACAGAAATTCTCCACACTTTGATCAATCAGATGACTGTAGCTTTCCAAAAATCGACACCAGTTGGGTTAACCACCACATGATATGTGTTATTCGGGTAAATAATACCCTTGTACTGACCTGACCACAGGTCCTCAACAGAGTATCCATTAGGATTGGTCAAACCAAGTTTTAATAACATCACTTTAACGTCCTAGAATTCAAATTTTATAACTTTTTCATAAAACAGTAAGCAGGATGTTAGATCAAAAAAAGAATATTTCTGGTAAAAATAACGCTGTTTTCCTTTTCATTTTATTTCATTTCGACTATACTTAACCGATTTTAATATAAGTTAGATAAATCTGTTTTAGCAAGCTTCGAGTCGCAGGAATTCACGTGAATCAACTCCAGTTCCTCTCTATTATCTATTATCCACTATGCTAGCCAGAAAGAAAAAACGTATGGTTTTGTGATAATATCAAAAAAAGTGATTGATAATTATGATGTAGAAAAATGATAGGTGTTTTCTTATTCAGCAAAATAAGAAATATCAAAACTTACTATTCTTTACAACATTTCTTTTTTTAAAATTAAATTCAAATATCTTCAGAATTTACTTTAATATGAATTTTTTTTTTAAGAGTCCTCACCATTACTGGTTAAACTCGCTCCACTGGCTTGTCGCACTGGGTAATATGCCAGGGAGTCCCTTGGCGATAGAAATACAGGTGAGTCGCCAGCATCACCCGTATTATGAATTATTATGAGCAAAATTAATTTATACCATGCGTTGTGCCAGATTTCGATTAAACACTGCGACTGCATACGAGCAGTGGTTTCCTTTACATGGCGTTACTGGCTTAACATATACACCAATATTAGTTGTCTGAAATTGAAATCAACTAAATCATTTAAACAATTATTATCATTTAAATCACAAAAAATGAATTTAAAACTCAAAAAATGACTTGCTTTCTCTAAAAATAAAAAAAAGAACAAAAATAAAAATTTAGATTTGTTTGAAAGTGGATAATGTTAACCATGTAAGATATATATATATATATACATATATATAAATCTGCTTAGTACATTAAAATTCAATAAAAGTGATCACGTTAGCAACAAGTCGTCCCATAATACCAAGAGGATCTTGGTCAATCGCTATTACAGCTGGATTTAAGAGGATTCTTTTGAAAACAGGTGCAATTGTTCGAAGATCATTAGACATTATCAATGGTGCGGACCAAATCGACCATATCGACATTTGCACTTTTGCTTGATCAGGTGTGATTTCCCTATTGCCAACAATTATCTGAAAGCCATAAACTAAAGGAACCAAAAAAAAAAACGATTAAAAAATCGTATTAAATTAACTAATAGAATATATAATTTAATAATATTAATTTAAATATCACTCTCAGTATTTAAAGAACACCTAAATAATCGTTGATAAATAACCATGTCCGGATCATGCCACTGGCCAGGCTTTTGAGCGGGGATAAATTTATCTTGGTTGTGATCATAATAATCGATTATACTCTTGATTGAATTCCATGACAAGCTAATATCATCAAAATTTCTCCAAAGATTGCAAGTACGACCGACCAAATTATAGTCAATCTGAAAACTCCTTAGCTAACAGGAATTAAAGGATTGCAATTTTTGAAATGAAAAAAGGCTGTCATCCGAATTATAATTATATTATTTATAATTTTTTCTAGATTTCGGACTATATGACAAATAAATTACGTGGCAAAAAGCAAGAAAGAAAAAAATTGGATTTAAATTTATTGTATTCAAAGCCTTGAATATTTAATTATAGTCAATGCAAAAAAAGTTTCAAATGAAATTAAAAATAAACAAACTTTTTCTGGATGATTGATTAGATAAGCGGGCCAGCTGCACGAATAAACGATCGGTCGTCCAGTTGAATTCAGAAACATACCCATCCTGGCATACCCTAGGTTTAATTTAAATGTAATTGAAAATAAAGCGAAAACACGGATACTTGGCATTCATTTCAACGCAAAAAAATTATTAACGCAAATTACCTTCGGGCATAAGAAATGTATCAATATAACAACCATCCAGCTTGAGATAATCTACCTTCCAATCAGCGAAAGTCTCAGCGTCAACTTTTTCATGCAAATAACTTCCGGGAAATCCTGCACACGTCCTCGTCCCATAGTCTTCATATATTCCCAATTTCAAACCTCTACTGTGCATCTAAAATAAAATGAGAAATAGATTTTTAAAAAGTCGCGAAAGATAAATCGTAACTGGAAAAATTTTCCGCATTTATTAGCTTATTATTATTATACAGCAAATGATTTCATAATTTATGATAATGACAAAGTAAACATACAAACATTAGAAAAACATACAAAATTTGCAAGTGCAGCGATTCCACTAGGAAAACGCTTTCTATCTGCAACTAATCGACCATTCAAATCCCTTTGCGATTCCATCCAACAATCATCAATGTGAACTGTATTATAACCAGATTTAACATATCCTTCTTGCACTAAATTTTGTATTAATTTAATATTTTTTTTACATAAATCGTGTTCAAAATACAATACAAATTTATCAACAGTGAAATCAATAGCCAATCTTTATTATTAGTGGAATCGAACTCATACTGCATGCTAATAGATTCGTTCTTCTTTTTTTTTATTTTAACTTAAAATATTTTTTTTTTAAACTAAGTTTTTCTCGAAGCAAATCTCCAACTTATCATATATTTTATCAAAATTATTTTATACTGTCTAATTTTTAATATGACTTCTTTTTTTTGAAAAGATAGCGCTTTCTTGTAGACTTTTCTTGTATAAAGGTTTCACTTATTTTTTTGCACCAGTTGTCGAATAAATATCTTTAATAAAAAAAAATTTCTTGCAATTAAATTAGCCGAAAAAAATTCAAATTATTTGTTTTAAATTTATATAAATTTATTTATATAAATTTTTAATCACAATAAAAAAACGAATATAAAATAAAAATTACCTAAAATATCAGCCATTTGCATATATAGTTTTTCACTGATGCAAGTATATGGATGTGTTTCGCAATCAGTTTGACACATAAATTTTGTCCACGACATCCATCCCATAGGTGGTGTTCTGCAATATTCATTATCAACTTCTCAATTCTCTCAAATTTTAGAATTCAACTAACCAAATAGCAAGAGAAAACTAATTAAAATATAACATATCGGCTCGAAGTCTAATTTTGCTATCCATAAGAAAATCGTTAGAATGGTATAAAAATTGAAATGATTACCTTGCAAGACCATTATCCAATGCTTTTGTATATAATATAAATAAAAATGATATAAATAAAAATTTGTTGATCATATCGATAACTAAAATTAGTTTTTATTAAAATATAAAATTAAAATTACTAAAACAAAAAATCTAATATACTAATAATATTTAATAATTTAAAATACTAAAAATGAAATTTAAAAAACAAAATTTAAAATTTGAAAATCCTAAAAAAAACGACGTCTAATTCATTCAAATTTCATTTTAACAATGAAATGATTTTCCTTTACGAAAATATTTTTAAAAATAAAAATAAAACAACAAAATATTTTGAAAGAAAATAAAAAATTTATTTGCACAAAGAAAAATAGAATGAAATTCGATTCTCAACAATAAATAAAATAATCAAAAAAATTTTCCTAAAATATTATAAATATTTTTACGATTTAGTAATTTCAACTTCTTTTATTTTAAATAAAATTTTAAATTTTAATTAATCGACGAACTTCGAAATGTATCGAATAAAAAAATTAGAATTTTTAGATCCTCGAAAATGAAAATATTCACATTCAGTTGAGATTTGAAAGAAATTTGACCAAAACCAAAAGAAACTGGTTTCTCTGATGAAGCAAAAGCATAAAATGATAGAGAATATGGTTCTCGGTTAGCGAAAAAATAAATAATAATCGCTACACATTTCGTTAATTAAACGAATAATTCTTTGATGAAATGTAAAAATGAACAAAAAAAATTAAAATAAAAATATAGACAAAAATATAGGAAAAAAAATAGAAAAAATATAGAAAAAAATTATAGAAAAAAAGAAAAAATAATTACAGAAAAAATAGAAAAAATTATAGAAAAAAATTATGCGGAAAAAGTGAACGCTGAATAAATAAATAAATTTCTAATTTAAAATAAAATTTATACGTTCTACAAAAAGTTCAAAATGAAAATTCATGTTCAGATGCGATTTGAAAGAAATTAGAAGAGATTTCTCATTCCCTATTTTCCAAAGCAACGATCTTAAAAAAAGACTGAACAGTAAACTGCTAGAAATTTTTTCTCGTTTAAATTCAAATTAAATTATTTTGTATTTATCTTTAGATTTATACAAAATAAAAATCAAATACAACCATCAATCTTCTCAAATTCTAAATTTTTGAAAAATACAATAAATAATCAAAAATATTTTTTATTATTTATTTATTTATTTATTTTACCACTAAGATAAATTTTTAAATAATTTTATAAATAAATATTTATAAAAAAAAAAAATTCTCAGTTCCAATTTCTGGTGCGATAAATCAATAATTTACATAAAGGAAAACTGGATTTTCAACAATTTTCAACGATCCTCAACAATTATTAAAAATATCCTGAAAGTGAAAATTTTAAGAAGCGCTGCTTCAGTGAGCACAGTGAATTTTCCTATGACACTGACACTCCTCACTCACTCAACTTGTAAACATTTTCACCTCTCATATCTGCTTTCTTATTGAAATTAAAAATGAAATTAAAAATGTTGAAAATTAATTTTTTTTTTCTTTTTAAAATCTAATTCATTCTTGAAATTCTTTCTGCTTTTTTATATTATCGAAACATGTCTCAAAAAATTCACCTTTAAAATCGTCTAGAAATTTTCGAAAAACCAGAAATTTTTTTATAAGATTTCTCGAATCCAACAAATGAAATATCATTAATTTTTAAGCGTACACCAACATAATATCATTATCATTAACATTCTTCTTATCTCTTATTCGCAGATAAAACAAAAACAAAAATATTGTTCCATTTGAAAGATTTAAAATAAAAAAAACCATACAATATGTCGAATATGGAAAATTTCGGATTTAATGATTTAACTAATCATTTGCTTTACTATAATATTCATTTTCGGAGGCTAAGTTAGTCCATATTTAAAAGAGTTGCGCTTTAGCATAAATAATGATAAACTGATATGATAAATATTTCAGGGTGGATGCTACCTATTTTTATTTCTATTTATTCGTCAATATTTTAATCGAATATTGGATTTTTGGATTGGATCGCATTTTTGTTCATTAACTATTATTCATGCAAATAAAAAAAAAAAAAAAAAGCTAACTAAAATATTTTATTTTAAAATTTAAATATTTAAATATTTAATAAAAATAAATTTAAAATAAATTGAAATAAATTTTTTGAGTTAAATACCAGCAATAGTATAATAAATAATTTTATGAACGACAACGACAAGAAAAATTTTAATTCTTTTCGAGAAAGAAAAAAAAAAAAACTTAAATCTATTTGTGCGAATATCTAACCGATTCGATGAAATATATAGCAAAGACTTTCGCCGAAAAACGCATCGCTTCTCATCTCAACGATCGCATTTTCAATTAGAAATTTATTAATTTCTAAACTACGAATATATATAATATTGCAATATATTTTTAATTTAATAAAATGAATATTTAAAAGAAGGAAAATTAAATAAATATTTAAAATATAAATATTTTTAAAAAAATATAAAAAAATAAAATAAATAAAAGTTTAAAAAATTAACAAATCGATAAACTTTAATTAACTTTAATAATTAAAATAAATAATAAAAGACAAATCTAATTTGCAAATTTTTTTTAATAAATAAATTCTCCTTTATTTTTGAATAATTTTAATTATAGAAAAAATAAAATATTAATACAACTTTCAAAATTATTTTGGTCAAAATAAATGTACGTATGCAAATCACAAAATAAATTTATTTGACAGAATTCGATTGTCCGAAAACGCGGCCGCAGCATTCCTTTCAACAATTCGTAGCCAAGTGTTAATTTTTTTTTTTTTTTTTTTTTAAACGGAATTTACGTGAAAGTCCTTGGCTCGTATATATATTTTATATGCATAAACAAATAATTAAAATATATTTAGCATTTATTTTCTCTTTCTATTTCTCAGAACTATGAACTACTAGGATTTTAACAGAATTTTAAGCCGACGAATAGCGAATATTGAAACCTACTAGAGAGGTTGTATGAGGATTGAAATATAGGTGAGTTCTTCAAAACTAATCGGATTTTTTGGTGATAGATTCAGTTGTGCGAGAGTGACCTATACTGAATTCTAATGCTTCAACTGATCACCTAAGGAATTCTCAATGTTAGCTCAGTGGATTGTTGCTAAATTCGAAGTGCCGATGCTGAGGTTCGATTCCCCGCTGGAATAAACCTGTCCAAGAATCCGCGTGATGTTGGCGACTCACCTGTCATTCTGTCGCCAAGCGACTCTCTGGCATGTTCGTCCAATACGACAAGCCAGCGGAGAGAGTTTAACCAGTAATGGTGAGGACTCTTAAAAAAAAAAAAAAAACTATCCCTCATTATTTTATACTTATAGCGTTAATAGTAGTAGTCGTTTTTTATTTGCATGAATAATTATATTTTATGAATATATATTTTAGTATCTCGGAAAAAAAAATGTCAGCAAAAATTTATCAGCACAATGAAGAAACTTTCATTTTGAATAAACGTTGGAATTTACGTGAAAGTCCTTGGCCAGCGATTTCAGTCGAATCTGCTTTAGCAATTATCGATGAACAAAAAATGCGAACACAAATTAAAATTGTAACAATTCAAGAAATTCGTGAAGGTTTTTTTTTCCTTTTTATTATTTTTATTATTTTTAATTTATTGAAAAAACAAAATCCAAAATATAAGTTGGTTTTTGTCTTCTATTTTTTATTTATTATTTTATTTAAATTTTATTTTTTATCTAATTTTATTATATATTATTTATATACATTATTTAATTATGTATATTATATTATTTAATATTTATTTAATTTAAATAATAGAAATTAATAGAAATTTATTTAATAGAAATTAATTTTAATAAATTATAAACTAATTTATGAAATTTATTAGGTGATATTATTGCCGAGAAAATCACTGCTGCTAGAGCTTATCCATCGTTTCGTACTTCAGTGAAAGATGGCTATGCAGTTATTGGTATGAATTTTTTAGCATATTTTTTTTCTCGTTTAATTTAATTTTAATTTTATGAAATGAAGCCAAATTAGTCATTTTTTTTCGATATAGCAAAGGCCTAAGCATGTTTCAATAGTTCCTAAAAGTCATGCAAATTAGTACAACCTACTCTTTTTTATAAAAAAAAAAAAAAAACGAATATATAAAATAGATAAATTTAGCGTCTGATGGCTGCGGAATTCGCATGATTTCTGATTCGTTAGAAGCTGGAGTAAATACTGATTTAAGACTTCGAGAAGGGTATGTTTGTCGAGTCAACACAGGTAACTGATTTTTCTTGTTTTTTGTGTATAACAAAATTTTTTTTGCTTGTTTATATTTGAATTTTGTTAAACATATGGGAAAAAAAATTTCTTTGCTTTTTCTTTGATGATTTTAAATTATTTCATGGTTTTTCATATGATCAGTATGCATTTTTCTTTGCAGTTGTATTATTACTTTGTTTGTATTTTATATTTGAAAGATTTATAGGTTCAGCAATTCCTTATGGAGCTGATGCTGTTGTGCCAGTTGAACAAACTGAATTGTGTGGTAAATCGGTTAATTTTTTTTTTTTGGAAAAATTTCCTAGCTTTGCTTTTTTATACTTTGCTAAACCATTTAATTCACTTTATTTTACAGGCTGATGGAAAATTATTGGTAAAAATTATGGTTGAAGCAAAAATTGGGCAAGAAATAAGGTTACTTCTTTTATTTCTTCTTATTCTTATGTATTGTTTATTGTCTTCATCTTCTCCTTTTAGGAATATTTCTTATTTAACTAGCGTTGTACTGTCTATAGGATATGTGATATAAACTATTAGGATGAGTTAAGGTAAATCCTTTTCAACAGAGAGTGGTTACGAGAGAAATGCAGGTATTGACAACTTTGCTCAGATCAAAAAGCAATATTGAAGCCTATGGTAATTTTAGTTTAATTGAAACAATTTACTAATCGACTTTATTTATGCTTTAAAAGTGAAAACCACGAAATATCAGTTTTAGTGCATGAATCAAATTATTTTTCAATATGATTTGAGATGAATACTTAAGAGAAATTGGATCTGATGTTGCTGAAGGTGAAACGATGCTTGAAAGTGGGACTCAAATTACTGCTGCCGAATTTGGCATATTAATCGCATCGGAAAGACGTTTGTTTAAAATATACAGACGACCTAAAATCGTTGTAATGTCTACCGGAGATGAGGTATTATAAATATAAAGTACAAAAATATACAAAAATTCAGAAATAATTATCTTGTATTTCTTTTTAATAAATTTGCTAAATGAATTTATGGAAAATATTCATTGAAAAAAAACAGAAAAAAATTTCAAGAAATAGGTTTAATAAAAAAAATTTGGAAATACTTCTTGTTTTGTTGAATTTGTTAAAAAAGCAAAAAAATTTGAAATTGTCTTCAAGCATTCTTTTTTTAAAATAATCGTTTTTATTCCTTTGTATAAATTAATAAAAATTTTTGCAGATTGTTGATTATAAAATAATTTGTTGTACTCAAGGTTATGTGCGCGATACAAATCGACCACAATTAATTTCACTATTCAAAAGTTTTGGAATGGAGGCTATTGATTTCGGCATTGTTCCGGATCGGTACTTTTTTAACTTATTATAGCCATATAAATGCAAATTCAGAAACATAAGGCCAATAAAACCCACGGAACAAGGTGATTTTCGAACTGAACCCTTTCAAATTTTGCTCAGCATCTACCTACATCGATATTCGCTGATATGATTAAACACAATATGACTGGTAAAGCAAATTTTTCTCTACTCCCAATAAAAGTGACTACGCAGTGCGGCACTTACCTTCAACTTACTAGATCCTACGAGATTTTTTGCTTCTCATCTGCTAAATAGGCTTGTAACATCTATCCTAATTGCCCGCACTTAGCTAGAAACCAGGATGTGACTATATTGACAAGATTCCGTGCTGAAAATAGTACTGGAACTTGTTTCAAATGCTGCCAACCTAGCACTACTTTTCTTCATTTTGCAAGTCTTGTAGTACAATGATGTTCCAGAGAAAATAACCAAATTTAGTAAATATTTTTTCGGCTTGAGTGAACGCAAATTTATGCGTGCGAGCTGTTGAAAGAAAAAAATAAATTTATATAATTAGGTGTTCCTGAGTCTCGAAAAGATTCAATAACAATTTATATAGGATTTTATAGGGAAGAAGTTTTGATCGATTGCTTAGGTCAAGCTTTCGCTATCGCTGATATTGTTGTCACATCTGGTGGAGTTTCAATGGGCACAAAAGTTTGCGTTTTATTGCAGGAATTTCAGTAAAAATCAAATTTCGCCATGGAATTTTTTCAGGGAATTTTTTGATAAAACTATTCAGTTGGTGTTAAATGGCATTGCAAATTTTAATTCATTTTTATATCTTCAGGATCTTTTGAAAGATGTTGTGCTTGAACATTTTAAATTTAAAATTCATTTTGGTCGTGTGTTTATGAAGCCTGGTCTGCCAACAACTTTTGCATCAGGAATAATAGATGGCCGTTCAAAAATATTGTTTGCTTTACCTGGAAACCCTTTATCCGCATGGGTTACCTCTCATGTTTTTGTTGTCCCAACACTTAAAAAAATTGTTGGTTCATCAAACTATAATTTTCCGGTCATCGCTGCAAAGGTTATCATTAATCTTTTAAAATATAGAAATTTTATTAATCCTGTTAGAAGAAGCGAACGCAGTAGGTTGTACGTATTAGATTTTGCAGTATTTGGATACCCCAAAAAAAAGATTTGCTA